GATAATTAGATGACCAATAGATTTGAATACCAAGCAAAACACTTTTGATAATTTGCAGTCTACCTGCATAAGATAGCCCCCTATTTTCATACAGGACTGAAATTGTCCAGAGATTTTATTTAGGAGAGGAGAGCAATCCATGAAAGATAATCTCTTGCATATCATAGGAACACCTAGATATTTTATAGGCAATGTACCCACAGAGAAATTCAGTAAGTTATTGACAGTGTTTTTAAAACTTTCATCAACTCCTCCATAGAAGATTTTGCATTTGTCTAAGTTTGCTTCCAAACCTAAAACTGAACTGAATTCCCTGAAACAATTGAAGATCCCGCCCACTGAATATATATCACATTTTGAAAAGAGTAGAAGATCATCCGCAAAGATTAGGTGGGTGATCTTAAGCTCACCACACCTAGGATGGAATTTAAAAGCTCTGTCATCCTTTAGCCTTGCCAAATTTCTAGATAAATATTCCATCCCCAAGACGAACAAATAAGGTGAAAGGGGATCACCTTGCCTTAGACCTCTTTCCCCCTTAAAGTATCCATGGAGTGAGCCGTTAAGAGAAATTGAGTATTTGGGAGAAGATATGCAAGCCATGATCCAATTAATCATCTTGACAGGAAAACCAAGGCCTTTTAACATTTCCTTAAGAAAACCCCAATTAATAGTATCAAAGGCCTTTTTAATGTCAATGCTCATCATAACCCTGGGAGAAATATGTTTCCTATTGTAATTTTTCACTAACTCATGAGCAAGAAGGATATTGCTAGAAATTTTCCTCCCTTTCACAAAGGAACTTTGTGCCTCATTGATCAAAAATCCCATAACAGACTTGATTCTGTTAGCAATGATTTTAGAAATGATCTTATAGATGTAGTTGCAGCATGTAATATGCCTAAAGTCAGATGGTGTTTTAGGGCAGGACACTTTTTTTTTTGGTCAATGAAAATTTTTATTCATTTACCAAGTATGGAAATAATAAGTACATCAAGAGAATGTTCACTCAAGACTGGTTATAGAATCCAGTCTTCAAACTTTACAATTTATCTACATATTCTTTCATATAGTGTGGTATTTTGTCATTTAAAATTCTTGTATACACATCATACTAAAGAGATAATCCGAGCTTCTTGATTTCTGTTGGAAGATTCTCAAATTTCTCTCTTGCAATATCATGTACACTGATACGGATAATGACATTCTCTTCAACTTTTTTTTGTAATTTTCCCCCCTCAAGCTCCTGCTGTACCAATTAATGATTTGGTTCCACCCACGTGATCTCCAGTTGAAACATAACCAATCCATTACCTTATTCCACACCCTTGCAGAATAAAGGCAATCAAAAAACAGATGGTGACATGTTTCTGTTTGGCCTTCCCTAGAGCATAAAACACACAAATTGGAGCTCAAGATCCTCATTCTACATAGTCTCTCTTGTGTTAAGAGTCTTGATTGAACTGCCAACCAGATGATAAAGGAATGTTTAGATATATACCATCCACCCCACACAGTTCCTGCCCACGTTTCCAGGTCAGATTGTTGAAAAAGATTCCTGTACATCACCGATACACTGAGCTTGCCATTAATACAGCTTTCTCTGATGGCATTTTGCAAGTTATTAACACCTCCAAGCTTATCAAACAGCAAATTTCTCACTCTCAGCAATTGCCTCCACAGCCATGAATCGCATTTCTTAGATTGGACTTACCAGATATTATTTTTTCTCAGATAGTGACCGTAAATCCATTTAATCCAGAGAATATCTTTCTTAAGATGTATCATCCAAAGGAGCTTCGCTGCCATGGCATAATTCCAAAATTTAGCTGAAAACAACCCCAGGCCACCATAGTCAATCCCCTGACATACAGATTCCCAGGACACTAAATGAATTTTGTGACCCCATAAGAAGTCAGAACACATACTATCAATTTTTTCAAGAACTTTGATGGGAAGAATATAGTTACTAGTCCAATAGATCTGAATTCCCATAATGAATGATTTTATCAACTGTAATCTGCCAGCATATGATAATTGTTTCCTTTTGAGCCAGTTTTGAAATTGTTCAGAAATTCTACTAATAAGAGGAGAGCAGTCTAGGCAAGAGAGTCTTTTAGAGATAAGAGGCATACCCAAATAGCGCACTGGTAGAACCCCCTCCGAGAAGCTAAGGGAGTTACAGATTTAATTTTTCTGACTTTCATCAATCCCACTCAGAAATATGGAGCATTTAGTTGGATTTGGTTCCAGGCCAGAAACTTGGCTAAATTCTGTTAGGCAGTCCTTTAATTATGAAATTGTACCCATATCAGCTTTTCCAAACATGAGGAGATCATCTGCAAACACTAGATGAGTTATGTTCAGCCTCGAACATTTGGGATGGAACTTATAAGCTCTGTCCTCTTTGAGAGTGCTGAGTTTCCGAGACAAGTATTCCATTCTAATAACAAATAGGTATGGAGATAAGGGGTCACCTTGCCTCAGTCCTCTAGCCCCTTGAAAGTAGCCATGAAGAACACCATTGATTGAGATGGAAAACTTAGGGGTTGAAATGCATTCCATGATCCAAGAAGTCATATTTTCAGGAAATTTCAATCCTATCAGCATTTTTCTGATGAAATCCCAGGAGATTGTATCAAAAGCCTTCCTCAAATTAATGTTCAAAATAGTACGAGGGGAGGAATGTTTTCTACCATAGTGTTTAACAATCTCATGAGCTAAGAGGATATTACTTGATATAAGTCTACCCTTTACGAATGCACTTTGAGCATCACTTATCAGATATCCCATTACTCCTTGAATTCTAGTTGCAATGACTTTAGTAATGATTTTGTACACACAATTGCAGCAAGATATAGGTCTGTAGTCAGATGCATATTGTGGATTAAGAATCTTTGGAATTAAGGTGATGGAGGTAGTATTGATTGTACCAAGAAGTTTTCCTGAGGTAAAGAATTCTTCAACTGCTGAGAAAAGTTCCTCACTGATAATACTCCAGGAGGCTTTGAAGAACAGAGCACTGTAACCATCTGGGCCAGGACTTTTATCATTTGACATAGAGCAGATAGCTTTTTTTATTTCATCTCTTGTAATTAGGGTACTAAGAGCTTGTCTCTGATCATGTGAGAGGAGAGGTCCATTAGCAATCACCATCGGATCAGGATCAGATGTAGGGACTGAGGTTCCCAGCAATTTGTTGTAATATCCAACAATTTCAGATATAATACCCTCATTATCAGTGATTCTATCTCCTCTTTCATTATATAGCGTAAGAATTCTATTATGATGTCTTTTCTTTTTCATGATAGAGTGGAAGAATTTAGAGCCTTTATCTCCTTCTAAACTCCAACTGATATTAGCTTTTTGCTTGTAGAAGGAAGATTCACATTCCAGTAATCTGTCATATTTTTTGATACACTCCTTTTCTCTATTGATCAAATCTGAACTGAAGGGATCACCATTTAACAGCCTTTGAGTATCAGCTAATTCATCTTTTTCTCTATGCACTTGTTCACTTATATTCATAAAATGCTTCTTGTTCAGTTCTTTGAGAGCAGGCTTTAACTTCTTGAGCTTTGTGTGGAAACTGTACATTTTGTAACCTTCAATGTTTTGCTCCCAGACTTTTTTGACTGTAGGGATGAACTCAGGATGTTTTATCCACATGTTGAAGAATTTGAATGGCTTTTTACCCTTTATAGCATCATCTTCAATAGTTAACAAGGCAGGAGAATGATCAGAACATCTAGGCAGCAGTTTTACCCTTTATAGCATCATCTTCAATAGTTAACAAGGCAGGAGAATGATCAGAACATCTAGGCAGCAGAAACTCCACTTGACTTAGTTAACAAGGCAGGAGAATGATCAGAACATCTAGGCAGCAGAAACTCCACTTGACTGGTTGTATATTAATGAATCCAATCCTCATTAACCAAGCATCTGTCTAATCTAGACCAGATTCTGTTATCAGCATCCTGTTTATTATTCCACGTGAAGTAGCATCCAACTGATTTTAGATGAAGTAAATGACTTGCACTGATGAAATTTTGAAAATCCTCTATATCAGTATCAGAAACTGGTATACCTCCAATCTTTTCATCATAGCTAGAAATTGTATTGAAATCCCCTCCAATGACCCAGGGACCATTGACATTGTTTTTAAGAGCCAGAAGATCTCTCCAAAGGGTCTTTCTGTTAGCCATTTGATTCTGAGCATAAACAATAGTACACAAGCTAGAGAACTTCCCATTTTTGGAATCAATGGTGCAAGTAATGTGTTGATCAGTTGAGCTTAATACTTGAACATTGAAAATATCAGAATCCCATAGAATCCAAATTCTTCCATTCCTGGCTTCATGCACATTAGAAGTCCATTTCCAGTCTTTGGTAATTTGCATAGCTATCCTTTTCAGCTTATTTTCATGAAGTTTAGTTTCCAGAAGGCCTATTAATGATATATCATATTCTTGTATGAACTGCTTTACTATCTTGTGCTTGGAGGATTTATTAAATCCTCTTATGTTCCAAATAGCAAGATGCATTTAGATAGAATTACCACCCCTATCAACACATGATGGGTTATCTAAAGGGGAGAAATGAGACAATTGAATACCTGAGAATTCAGCAATGCCTATAGAAGATCTCCTTGCTAGATTAGTTTTGTTGACGCTAGAAAATCCAGAAGCATTGACAATTGGAGCTGAGTAGAGATATGGATCATTTGCTGGAAATGTTAAGCTCCCTTTCCCCACAATTCTACTTTCAGCCTGTGCATGTTTTTCAGTCTGTGCATGTTTTCCAGCAGACAGAGTCTCTTTGTTTTTTCCAGCAATTTGCTCAGTGTTGATATTTACTTCAGGTATTTGCTGAACAACAGAATCTCTCTCTAGCCCAGGAATAATAGCAGGTTCTTTGCTAAGTACAGGAGCAACTTCAGCCTGTCTAATAACAGAAACTCACATCCTTTTAGTCTTAATTCTTCTACATTGTTCTGTAACATGACCAATCTTACTACACAAAGAACACCACTTTGGTTTATATTCATATATGACTGATTGTGTGTAGCTTATTCCATCAGGCCCTTGAATGTTTAACTGATCAGGCAATGGATCTTTCAATGGCAACTTGACCTCTAATAAAACTCTTGCATAGCTCAATCTCTCTCTATTTGCCGTGAGCTTGTCAGTTGCAATAGGCTTACCAATTAGGCTAGCAACTTTACTGATTCCTATTGAGCTCCATAAGTTTAACCTTAAATTTGGAAATTGCGCCCACATAGGATAGTAAAAGTCTTGCATCTTATCAATATCAGCATCAATCTTTTCTTTTTCTTGATAGAGTGGAAGAATTTAGAGCCTTTATCTCCTTCTAAACTCCAACTGATATTAGCTTTTTGCTTGTAGAAGGAAGATTCACATTCCAGTAATCTGTCATATTTTTTGATACACTCCTTTTCTCTATTGATCAAATCTGAACTGAAGGGATCACCATTTAACAGCCTTTGAGTATCAGCTAATTCATCTTTTGCTCTATGCACTTGTTCACTTATATTCATAAAATGCTTCTTGTTCAGTTCTTTGAGAGCAAGCTTTAACTTCTTGAGCTTTGTGTGGAAACTGTACATTTTGTAACCTTCAATGTTTTGCTCCCAGACTTTTTTGACTGTAGGGATGAACTCAAGATGTTTTACCCACATGTTGAAGAATTTGAATGGCCTTTTACCCTTTATAGCATCATCTTCAATAGTTAACAAGGCAGGAGAATGATCAGAACATCTAGGCAGCAGAAACTCCACTTGACTGGTTGTATATTAATGAATCCAATCCTCATTAACCAAGCATCTGTCTAATCTAGACCAGATTCTGTTATCAGCATCCTGTTTATTATTCCACGTGAAGTAGCATCCAACTGATTTTAGATGAAGTAAATGACTTGCACTGATGAAATTTTGAAAATCCTCTATATCAGTATCAGAAACTGGTATACCTCCAATCTTTTCATCATAGCTAGAAATTGTATTGAAATCCCCTCCAATGACCCAGGGACCATTGACATTGTTTTTAAGAGCCAGAAGGTCTCTCCAAAGGGTCTTTCTGTTAGCCATTTGATTATGAGCATAAACAATAGTACACAAGCTAGAGAACTTCCCATTTTTGGAATCAATGGTGCAAGTAATGTGTTGATCAGTTGAGCTTAATACTTGAACATTGAAAATATCAGAATCCCATAGAATCCAAATTCTTCCATTCCTGGCTTCATGCACATTAGAAGTCCATTTCCAGTCTTTGGTAATTTGCATAGCTATCCTTTTCAGCTTATTTTCATGAAGTTTAGTTTCCAGAAGGCCTATTAATGATATATCATATTCTTGTATGAACTGCTTTACTATCTTGTGCTTGGAGGATTTATTAAATCCTCTTATGTTCCAAATAGCAAGATGCATTTAGATAGAATTACCACCCCTATCAACACATGATGGGTTATCTAAAGGGGAGAAATGAGACAATTGAATACCTGAGAATTCAGCAATGCCTATAGAAGATCTCCTTGCTAGATTAGTTTTGTTGACGCTAGAAAATCCAGAAGCATTGACAATTGGAGCTGAGTAGAGATATGGATCATTTGCTGGAAATGTTAAGCTCCCTTTCCCCACAATTCTACTTTCACCATGTGCATGTTTTTCAGTCTGTGCATGTTTTCCAGCAGACAGAGTCTCTTTGTTTTTTCCAGCAATTTGCTCAGTGTTGATATTTACTTCAGGTATTTGCTGAACAACAGAATCTCTCTCTAGCCCAGGAATAATAGCAGGTTCTTTGCTAAGTACAGGAGCAACTTCAGCCTGTCTAATAACAGAAACTCACATCCTTTTAGTCTTAATTCTTCTACATTGTTCTGTAACATGACCAATCTTACTACACAAAGAACACCACTTTGGTTTTAGTCTTAATTCTTCTACATTGTTCTGTAACATGACCAATCTTACTACACAAAGAACACCACTTTGGTTTATATTCATATATGACTGATTGTGTGTAGCTTATTCCATCAGGCCCTTGAATGTTTAACTGATCAGGCAATGGATCTTTCAATGGCAACTTGACCTCTAATAAAACTCTTGCATAGCTCAATCTCTCTCTATTTGCCGTAAGCTTGTCAGTTGCAATAGGCTTACCAATTAAACTAGCAACTTTACTGATTCCTATTGAGCTCCATAAGTTTAACCTTAAATTTGAAAATTACACCCACATAGGATAGTACAATTCTTGCATCTTATCAATTTCAACATCAATACTCCATGGTTTCAGCATTAGAGGTCTGGACCCAAAAAAACCAGGGGCCAACTTCAAGAATTTCTCTCATAGAAGTTTCTGATTGAAAGTCAAAAAGGAATAATCCTTGTTTGATTAGTGAGACCTTTGGTATAGAGATATTACCCCATAGTTTGTTGACATAGGACTCCATTGATTTAAATTTGACATTTAATCCTATGACATGTCCAATTAAAGCATTTTTCCATAAACCTTCTCCTTCCTTCCATTCTTCAGCAGAAAAAGAGACTGTATTGGAATTGGAAGATGGTAAGAAATTCAAAGATAATCCATTTCCTGCTTTCCTATTATCAGCAAAAAGGCTAGCAAAAGTTTTGTTTGTCTTTTCACTATTAACCACATCATTGTGGACCTTAACAGCCTCATCCTGGACATCATTCTCCTTTGTCTCCAAATTAGAAACCACAGGATTTTTATCAATATTTTCTACTCTGATCTTCTTAATAGAATTAGACAAATCATTCAATCTATCCTCAGACAACTTATTCACATCATTTATTAATGAAACAGTGTCGAGATCAAGCATCGATTCAGAGTTCACTCTATCGAAGGCAAGAACTCTAGAAGGAATATCATAAGGCTTATGAATCAAATTAGAATTAGAAGAAATCACCTCCAATTCAACCTCATCTGCCCAAGAAACCCTAGATGAGCTGCAGGCGCCATCACAAGAAATAACAGGTTTACTTATGAGACGACGAGCTTGAATTCCATTCAACTGAGAAGAGCTCAAATCATGCTTAGAATCGACCAGGAAATCAGAAGATCGGAGTATTTCCTCCATTGATTTCTTCTTCTTTTCCCCTATTAGACCTGTCGAGCCCATAGCTATATTGTTGACTCCTTCATCATCCTCAGCAAAACTGGTATCAATTTGATCGACCTGTCGAGCCCATAGCTATATTGTTGACTCCTTCATCATCCTCAGCAAAACTGGTATCAATTTGATCCCCCAATCTAATCAAACTTGAATCCGCTAACTCCTTCATCATCCTCAGCAAAACTGGTATCAATTTGATCCCCCAATCTAATCAAACTTGAATCCGCTACTCTGAATCCTATGTTGAAGAGATTTCTCCTACTCACCTTCTTCTTCTTCGCCATAAAAAACCAGGCGGGTGCGCAAGTTAGCAAGAAACAGATCTCCCGCTAACTTGCACCATCAGAAGCCCGCCAATTTTTACCTCACCTTGTAAAACCAAAAGTTAAGGCCTTTGATTACTTTCTAAAGTTGGGCATGACACTTTTGGAATCAAAGTGATAGCTGTGGCATTAATTGCTCCTAAAAGTTTACCTGTATTGAAAAATTCTTCAACTGCCAGAGAAATATCATCACCAATCACACTCCATGCTGATTTGTAGAATGACATGCTATATCCATCAGGTCCAGGAGCTTTGTTTTCAGACATAGAGTGAACTGCACTCCTGATTTCATCCCTGGAAACTGGAATAGTTAGAGTGTCAGCTTGAGTACTATTTAAACATGGTCCATATCTTAAAACATTAATATCTGGATTTGAAGTGAGAGAAGTTGAGCCCAAGAGAGATTTATAGAAAGAAATCAACTCATTGATTATCTCATTTCCATCAGTGATCCTGTCTCCTGCACTGTTATACAGCATCATGACTCTATTGTGGTGCCTTTTTGCTTTAATAGTAGAGTGGAAGAAGCTTGTACATCTATCCCCTTTCACATTCCATTGAATCCTAGCTTTTTGATGATAAAAAGACATCTCACATTCCAGCAATTTATTAAAAGTAGCTATACAGATTTTTTTCTTGATTAATTAAATCAGCATTTAGAGGATCTCTTTGAAGATTGCTTTGAACAGTTTCCAAATTCATTCTTGCTCTAATCACTTGTTCACTGATGTTGTGAAAGTTTCTCTTGTTAAAATCCTTCAGAGCAATCCTCAGCAACTTTAATTTGTTTACTACAAAATACATTTTGCATCCTGTAAAAGAATTTTGCCAAACAGAAGAGACAGAGTGCATGTATCTTTCATGCATTGTCCACATCTTATAAAACTTGAAAGGTTTTTTCCCTTGATCACAGTTATCATAAATTGAAACCAAAGTTGGGGAATGATCAGAACAGTTTGGAAGAAGGAATTCAGCATGACTTGAACTATATTGATTTAACCATGAGTCATTAATCAAGGCTCTATCAAGCCTACTCCAAACTCTAGAGTTTGCCTCTTGTTTGTTGTTCCATGTGAAGAAACATCCCTCGGTTTTCATATGGGATAAATGACATCTGTCTATAAAGTCCTTGAAATCAACTATTTCAGCCTCTGAAACCACAACACCTCCTAACATCTCTTCACTGTCAATTATGGAGTTAAAATCACCACAAAGAATCCAAGGTATATTACCAGTATTTTGATGAATTTGAGTAAGATCTAACCAAAGATTTTTCCTGCCCTCTAGTTGATTATGGCCATATATAGAAGAAATTAAGCAATCAAACCTGCCATCTAAAGACTTAACTTTGCAGGAAATATGCTGAGTAGATAAGCTGACAACATTTACTTCCAGGATATTGGGATCCCATAAGATCAAAATCCTAGCTCTTCCTGTAAAATTAGCATTAGAGAGCCATTTCCAGTTATTACCAGCAATTTTCTTAGCTGAGATAGGAAGCTTATCCAATTTTATTTTTGTTTCAATGAGAGCCAAAAAGGAGAGATGATGTTGCATAATATGAAGCTTTGCTAAATGTTGTTTAGAGGACTTATTCAGCCCTCTAATATTCCAAAAAGAGAGATTCATATAGACTTTGCACCCCCTCTATCCACTGAAGAGGGGTCTATATCCAAGCCATTGAGATGAGCAAATGAATTTCCAAGAGCAAGAATATTCTTCATACCCACATGCTGTGTACAAGCTTTACTGATGAGCTTGCCAACTTGAGATGAATCACCTTTAGCTGTAAAATCCCTGAGCTTGCCAACTTGAGATGATTTGCTCACTATATGCTCTTTTTGTGTGCAGGTTTTGCTGGCATATGGCCTAGTAGCACCAGATGATTCCCCAGGCCCAAAGTCCTGAAAATACTTGCTCTCTATATCTTTGCCTGATATTTGTACATGTTGTGTGTAGGTCTTACTGGCAGATTGAAAATTTTTGCTCCCTTCATCACCTGATAAATGTTCCTGAACATGCACAACATGCACAGGATTCACTGTTTTCATATTGTTGCCATAAACATGATTTACTTGGCTTAAAACCACTTGGTCACTCCCCTCATAACTGGTAGATACCTTGGAAAAATCCACATGAGATTTATCTACATCAACAGCTGACTTTACTTGATCTTCCAGATTACCAGTATCAGGAATATTAGCAGAGTCAGTTTGAAGCACTTTTTTCAGAACCCACTTTTGTGTCCTGGGAATTCTTTTACAGTAAGATGTATCATGCCCAACAAGCTTGCAATTATCACACCACTTAGGCTTTAGCTCATAAAGCACTCGTTGATTTGCAATTTTACCATTTGGACCATGAATAGGTATCAAATCAGGGAGAGGATTTGGCATCTGAACTTCAACCAAGACCCTAGCGTAAGCCAATCTTTGCTTATTGGCAGTAAGCTTATCAGTAGCAATAGGTCTACCAATTTGGCTAGCAATTTTACTTATAGCATTAGGAGTCCACAAATTTAGCCTTAATCCAGGTAACTGTAACCAGACAGAATATATATTTTCCTTTATCTTGAACATATCATTATCATTTGTCCAGATTTTTAACAATAAGGGTCTAGAACCAAAAAACCAAGGTCCATTAGCAAGGATATTCTCTATTTCCTCCCTATTTTTGAATTTAAACAGAAATAAGCCTGGCTTAAGCAAGCAGACTTCAGGCATAGACCAGTGTACCCAAACTTTTTGAACAAAGTTTTCCATGGCCTTAAACTTGACATTTAAACCTATAACCTGCCCAATCAAAGAAAATTGCCAGATAGAATTACCTTCATTCCATTCATCCTCATTAAAATTTACATAATCTTTATTCTCAGATGCCACAAAATTCAAGCACATACCACTGCCAGATTTCCTGTTGTCAGCAAAAAGACTAACCCAGGATTTCTTGACAGGATTTTGATCTATGTGAGAAGAAGGATTACTAGCATCTTTAATCTCTTCAACAGGATCCAATGAAACAGAATCAAGAAAATCCTTACTAGCATCTTTAATCTCTTCAACAGGAACCATTGAAACAGGATCCATTGAACTCAAAGGAGCAGGAGCAGAATCAAGAACAGAGAAATTTACCTCAACTGGAACAGCCGATGATATAATCTCGTCAGCCCAAGATTTCTTACCAGATTGAGAACTAGAAGCCCCTGCAACCTGACGTGCAATCACCTAAGGAGAGACCTGATCCATACCAGCTCCAGATTGAGAGCAAGAAACATCATAAGTCTAACGATCAATCTCTTGAGAAGAGATCAGATTCCTACTAGATCCAGAGAAAGAATTCTTCAAGATATCCGCCATCAACCTCTTTTTCTTTTCTCCCTTTGGCCCCGTTAACCCCATCGGAATCAAGGAAACTTCATCTTCTTCAGCCGATCCAGAATCAGAATGATCAGAATGAATCACAGAACTCAAATTTGAAGAACTAAAACCAAGATTAAGAATTTTTTCCCCATGATTTCTTCTCTTTTTTGCCATAACTCACCACGGCGGGGGCGCACAATAGCATAGAAAATCGCCTGCTATCATGCACCTAACTAACTAACCGCCCTAATTTTCTTTACGTTAGACTTTTGTCACTAACGTAATGAACTCGACAACCAATTGATACTTCATTTTTGAACGAAAACTTACCTGCACATATGAAGGAAGTCTTAGAGAAAATGTAATTTCCGTTTCTAGTTTACCAGGCTAAGCTAAGCCTGATTTTGATGTACAACACTATTTCGCAATTGGAAAATGAATAAAGTTTAAATTCATTGACCAAAAAAAAATCTGATATATCAATCGGAGAGCATGAAATCTACTCCTACATGAATGTGTGTCCAACTACAAAAGCCTGAATGCCAGCCTAATTTTCTGATGCAAGCCATGAGGGGGGGAGGGGAAAAAATCCAAAACAATGCCCTTATTATTGTTATTATTATTATTTTAATTTTTATTATTTTCCGACATAGACCAAATTGCGGTCCACTCGCGTATACAGTATTACGATAGAAGTTGTACTCCTGTGGTATTTAATTACCAACGAAAGGCCAAATGTAGCAAGATGGTGGTGATATTTTCTTGAAGCAAGGGAAGGCAATTGCCTAAACTCATATCCCCACCCCTTCACAACCCTCCAAACCCCTCCCTTGTCCTTCCTTAGCATCCTCGTGGTTTGCCAGCTCAATCCACCAATTCCGCGCAGTGCCTCACACAAAGCCAATCAATCTTCGCCTCTACCACCCCCCCCACCCCTCCTTACCCCCCACCCGCACCCCACGCCACCCACCGCCACACAAACACATCGAGCCAGCACCTATAAAAGCGCCAACCTCCCTCTCCGCTCCAAACTCCCCACAACCATCACTGAGCAGACAGCTACACCGTAACTCACATCAATTGGCTAGCTACCCCTTAATTGTGCTGATCGATGCCGATCGAGATGGCCACTCAAAGACCCCATGCCTCAGACTGCTCTATTCCTCCACCCTGCAAACCTCCTCCTCTTGTGCAAAGCCATCGCCGCTCGCTGCGGCACGTGCCCCGGGCCCGACGTCGCCGAGCCCCCGGCTCCGAAGCCGGCCCTAGGCACCGAAGCCGCCCAGAAGGCCGAGCCCCGACAGCAATTGCCCGGCCGAGCACCCCTGAAGCTCGGCGTCTGGGCGCTAGACGTCCTCGGCCTCATCAACCTCAACATCGGCAAGGCGCCGAAAACGCCGTGCTGCTCTCTGCTCAAAAACCTCGCCAACCTCGAGGCCGCCGTCTGCCTCTGCACGGCTATTAAAGCCAACGTTCTCGGGACGAACCTCAACATTCCTGTTGACCTCAGCCTCCTGTTGAACTACTGTGGGAAGAAAGTCCCCACTGGGTTCCAGTGCGCTTAAGTTCGTTAATGGTTGCTCGTTAATTTACTTGATTTGGTTTTTAAATTGTTTATTTGTTGTAATATTTGAAATGGGTTTTTGTTGTTTGTTAATTTGCTGTTAATTAACGAATAAGTCTTTATTTGTTTGTGTGTGTGTACGTGAGAGAGAGAGAGAGAAACCCTAGCTAGGGTTTTGTAGGGGCTTGGTGTTTTTGTTATAGTAGTGTGTGCGACTTTGGAAGTGGGAATTGAATTGTATTTATCATCAATGAATGAATTTGTTTTAAGTTAAATATCTGAGTTTGGAATGAATGATTAACTTGATGTGACACGTTGGAGTAAAATATATGCAAATGAGTTTTCCAATACCAAAAAAAAGAAAAAAGAAAAAAGAAAAACATCTCGCCAACATACCTCAAAGTTGAACAAAATATAACTTTGATATTCTCGCTAATTAGTTTAGTCGAGAGAGACTACAAAACTCAACAATGGCAGACCCAAATTAAAACAGGAGATTCATGGATGTGGAAGCAACTGGTTAGAACAAGAGATAAAGTTATGGCTATGTGTGGAGGTGAAGAAAATCTGAGGAATCTTATCAACTCATGCCATCATAGTGATAAACTAAGGCTTTCGGACCTATACAATGCTCTATCCCTTGTTTCCCAGGAAGTGTCATGGTATAATTTGGTTTGGAGTGGACTCAATGTTCCCAAACACTCTTTTATATGCTGGTTGGTCTTACAAGATAGAATCCTAACTCAAGATAGGCTACTTAGAAGAGGGGTCATTGATTCAAATACCTGTTGCCTTTGCTCTGGAGCTGAGTGCGAGACCAGAAAGCACTTGTTCTTTAAATGTGCTTATTCTTGTGAAATATGGAATAGAGTTATGGAATGGCTGGGGTTCAATTGGAAGTCATGTTACTGGAATCAACTCATTCATTGGTTTATAGTCAGGTTAAGAGGAAAAGTGCTTAAGCAAAAATTGAAGAGGCTGGCGTTAACTGCAACTATCTACTATATCTGGCAAGAAAGAAATGCAAGGATTTTTAGACAACAATCCAGGAATCCTGATCAAATGGTCAAGTTGATTCAAACTGAAATTTGGATTATAATGCTCAACAAACCAGGAGTTAGCAGTGATATGGATAGCTCATTGTTGTGATTTGTAGTATCGATCATGTCCGTATCAGTTATCTATTATGGCAAAGTGTGATATTACAGGTTTTCGACAAGAAGCTTGAATAACAAATTCATGGGGTGGAGTTCTGTAATAGTGTGGACTGGGTGTATATATAACCAGTCTTTGGGTTTCTTGTATCTTTGATGAGCACATACATTTTCATACTTGGTGATGAATAAAATTCATTCATTTACCAAAAAAAACTCTTGTGCCCCATTTGACGAAGATTTACGGTGGAGAAGTTAAAGAAAAATAGTTAACATGGTTTGTCATTTGTTAATCTGTTTGATTAGTTTATTTTAGTTATTGTGAACATTTCCTGTCTTTGGAAATAAAAAGGATTACAATCACTTTCTTTATATACGCACGGGTCATCTCTTCACACGTCTAAATAGGTAGATTAGTAAACCTCTCATTCTGAGGATTAACATATTTTAGAGGGATTTGTAAACCTTTTTTATTTTTTGGGTATTTGACAAATTACAAAAATGAGTCAATTAAGGTTAGCCCTCTCGGGAAGGAAAGCGCTATGGTTGTTACAGCTTTGGCAGGTTCAGGAGGGGGTTAACACCAAATTAAATTTGCTCTTTGTAGTCTCATTCAATTATGTTAATCGGTAAAACATGGGGTAAGCTTTCAGATTTTTATTTTACTTATATAATTATACAAATCTTTTTTTAGTCTTTAAGGATTATGATAGGCTAAAATATCAAAGGACCTACCACTGCATTAAAAGTCTGAAGTAGTGAGGGTTATAATTTTGTTTTATGTGCCCCCATATGTTGAGCACTTTTTTATGGACAGAAATGTGGACTAAAGTATTATTTAGTTTTTCTCTAAAAATTTATTTAAAGTTTATTATCGATGGGATTTGGACCCAGATTGCGTTGATACCATGTCTCAAAGTGAGTGCTACTAGTACAAAAATTTGAAATTTATGATGAAGGTAAAAGTGTTGCGCGCAGCGGAAATTTCGGCAGTACCTCCGCAGCACAACAAGAGAGTTAGATCGCAACAATAGGAATTCTCGTTTTACCAAAGAAACAAGAACCAAAAGTAAAATATCTCAACAAAGTGGGATATCATCTCTTTCTCTCATCAATTCTAGCACTGACTTGTCGACAAAACCTAAATAAGCTATTACAAATCACACAAATAACGAGACAACCAATTTTATGTGGTTTGGCAAATTGCCTACGTCCATGGTGTTTTCAGCGAAAGTTGTTTCCATTGCAGATTCCATTAAAACTTCGATCGTTTACAAAGAATTACAATGAAAATAAAAGAAAATACAACTCTCGAGAAAATAACACAGAAATTGTTTATCAACTCCTGCTTTTGTGGGACTTTGCCTGTGCCGGGAATGCTTTAGTTCGTGGACCACCGATTCGTAGATCGAGAGGTTGTTTAAGGATCTCTCCTTCGTTTATCGAAGTAAAGATTTGAAAACGAATATCTTATCGATGTAAGATGTCCGTTCTTCCAAAGATCAAGTCTGAGCTTAGATCTCTAGGATTCACCAAATGATGCTTGTCAGAGGGTGAAAATTCTCTCTTTCTTTCTCAAAATCACCAAAGACTCAAGTATCTTCTGCTCCAAAAATGCTCTCCGTCCTTTAATTCGTGCCTAGGGAGGTATTTATAGGGCTCTCAGTGCACCACAGTTAAAACGGAGGCGAAATAACTGACTGGCCGTTTTCTCTTTGGCCGCTGCAGTCTACACTGCCGCGGCTATTGGCGCGGCAGTATAAGCTGCCGCGGCCGAAGAGGCAGTTATCAGCACGTTTGATCGTGCTTAAAACCGCTCTCCCACGACTTTTAACCACCTTTTTTCGTGGCTTAACTGCTTGTCCACGTCAGCACACGTTCTGTTTCTGGTATGCTGCCACGTGGGCCTCAAAAATCATCATATAACTATTTCGTAACTGCTGCAACACTCCTTTAACATAGCCGCGGCACCCTAGATTGCAGCGCCCAAGCCGCGACACGACAAGCTGTCGCGCTTCAGCCGCGACACGACAAGCTGTCGCGCTTAAGCCGCGGCACTATATGCTGTCGCGCCTTAGCCGCGACACCATGAGTTGCCGCGCCACCTTGTGTTGCCTGATGACGAGTAAATTGTTCTCGCATGTTGTTTTGAATGGTATTTGGATGTCTGCAAGTATTTTTTGACGCCTACAGATACCCCCTCCAAAGTATCTCAGACTCATCATTTCTTTTAGAGAGGAGTCTGGGACACTTTGGATATGATAGGCTTTCCCTGCAATTTCTCCAGTTCTTTGTTGAGGAAATTGCGTAGAATGGTCTGTGAATGGCTTCAATCCTTGACTTCTTTATCTCTTAGTCTACTCAATGCTTTGTAGAATAGCTAAGATTCCTCCGGTGCTGCGTTTATCGCGTGCCCGTCGTCGAAGTCTTGAATCAGAACTGTTGTTGAAGAATGGAGAAATAGTTTATACTCATATGCTCTATTGGAGTGTTCGGGAAACAGTTTAACCTCATGTACCCGTTGGGAGGTTCAAGGAGATGCAGTTTATACTCATATACTCATCGGAGTGTTCAGATGTGTATTCCAAATACAGCAAGAGATGTATGTGTTCAAACGTCGAAGAATTATCGTGCATGCACAGTATTTATACATGCCAGAGTGAACCATGGTGTGTTAGCTGCCGCGGCAGCTTACACTGTCGCGCTTTAGCGCGGCAACATAGACTGTCGCGCTCGAGCGCGACAGTGTCGAGTGCCGCGCAGCGCTTCGGCCAGTCAGATTATAACTCTGACGTTTGGGCTTCTTCGGGTCACCTTTCCCCGCCTCTTTGAGTTCGAAACCTCTTCCAAAACCCTATAAAAGGATTTTTTCTGGTTTTTCCCCTTTCCACCTCTTCATCTTTGCGTTTGCTCAAACAAAACCTAGGGTTTTAAGATCTAGGGTTTTGAGTTCTCTTTGATTTTGATCTTTTCCCTTGATCAAACTTGATTCTATTCTCCCCTGGTAAGAACCGAGCCTATCCCTTGTATTTCATGTTTATTTTGCTATTTAATTCGAGATTTCATCTCTAAACCCTAATTTTCTTTGATTCCAGGTTGATTTCACCATGTCTCCAAAGAAGACTCGTGGTTCGAAGGGAAAATCAGCGGCACCAGCACCTGAGGATGTCGAGGCTGCAGTTCCATCCTTTGGGGGTAAGTTTCTTCCACTTCTCTTCTCTGAAACTGTTGATTTTGTGCATATAACCTCGTTTGTCTCCGTTGAGAGGCATTCGGGAAGAGTTGACATCCCCCACCGAGGGGATTGACGCTTCAAAACACATACCTTGTTCAATCAAGGCATGTACCACAGTTAAGACACGGGTATTCGTCGAACTCGTGCCTTTTCAAAATCAAGAGTCGCTGTTCAGTTACCGCGGCAGCTCGTACTGCCGCGCCTGAGCGCGACAGTGTATACTGCCGCGGTAACGCGCGACAGCAACAACTGCCGCGGCTACTTAGTGAAGGTTTTCTCGTCTGTTAGCCTTTTTGGTCCAACTGTTTTCCAACCTTTCTTTGCAGTCCCCTTTCCTTCTGTGGCCTTCTCTGATAGAGAGGATCCAGGTCAAAGCGGTACTCTTCATGCCTCTTTCAACGGCGACTTTCTGGTTAGAGAGGCTCGCCAATTTAGCGAAAATCGTGATAATAGTATTCCAGAGTTGGTTCGTGAGGGAGGTCGTCGTACCCTGCGCGCTCTTTTGACTGATTCACCCCTAACTCCAATTCGAGATTCTACTGAACCGTTGAAGAAGACTGATTATCTGTTCGGAGATTCGGTAGAAGATCCAGACAAACTTTGCCGTGGCTCTGAAATTTGGTTGAATGAACATGAAGGTTCTTTTCTATTCCTTCCTCCATTTCCTCGACAGTACTCCCTTCTGCAATTGAGGAATTTGGCTGTTTCGAGGGAAATGACGTGGCACTTGACAGAAGACCATGAGCACGTTCATTGCGGCTATATTGGTAAAGATATTAGCGCTCCTGGCTCCGTCGGTAGGCCTGATGTTCGTGGTCTTCACCCTGGTATATTTGGACCAGATGGTGGGCCCCAAAACGAACTGATGATAAGGGCCAATACCGTA